AAAAATCTGCAAAAATTTCCATTAAAATATCGACCTGAATCGTCCAGATTTTTCCACTTCTTTCTAATCTTCAACCAGCAAATTCTAACGTAAGAAGAAAATTCCAAGGAAAATACCACTCGATTCGCGATGCTCTACCTTAATCACCCAAGACGCGCCTCAGCTGACACCGAAATATATGATTTCCCGTGATTCAATATAGGTTATCAGCGATAGTTTCCAATTCATAAATAATGTCACACGCACCTCTGCTAATTCCGATAGAAACGCGAACATGACAAGCACAGTCGTGCCAGTCGTAAATATTACGATTAAATATACTGGGTCACATGATCAGAGGAATTGCTACCATCCACTTCTTAGGTTAGGTTGCACGCGCGTAGCAAAATCGCTTAAGTGGGTTCTTCTTCCATTCGTCGATTCAATCAACCTTCTTCGATCGCTTATTTCGTCTCTTTTATTACATCAGATCGATCGATCGATCAGTCGAAATAAATTCATTGCCGCCAGTGTTGATCGTTTTACAATTCTCCATTATTTTCATGCTTCGCGAAGTTAGATCTTGGTTAAATGTATTACTTATTGGATATTTTCGTAAATAAATTGACAATTCATTTATTTTTCAGACGTAATAGTAGATTGTTTTTTCATTTAAAAGATTTCAAGTTAAATTACAAATTTGTCGATGTAAGTAAAAATTTGTAAATCTTAATTATGGTGGAAATAAATAAACGAGTTTTTTCTGCAAAGTAGAATATACGTTTCGAAATATTTTTTCAGTTAATATAAAACTGGATTTAATTCGCGCGTATTAAAAGTTATCGCATGTGCATCGGGAAATTCATGACATTTTCAAATAAGTAAGTCAATTTCATATTTTAAAGCAATGTTTGTTTGTTTTATAAGATATGTAAGTTTTGTTCTACAATCATTTTCTCGTATTTTCGAGAATTTGAAAATTCCATTCTGCCAAAAACTTTGTTTGTAATTTTTATTTTTTTAATGCAAAACGAACCATTGCTTTTTTCTTTGATAGACTGCATTTTTTCCTTTTTGGTAAAAGGAAATTTTACGTGTCGAAAAGGTACTCTATTTTCGTCCACCTTCAAGACAGTATAACTTCAAGAAGAATAGATAGATTTTCAAAATTGACTTGAAAAAATAATCTTTCAGAACATACGAGATCTTCATACAGTTTCATCGAGTTTTATTTGCTCTAACCTGTTCAATCACCGCCAATCGAAAATCGGTACGAACTTCCCGGACAAGCTAATATTTTTTAAATTTATCTCTGGCAAACTTAAAATAATTAAATAATATATTGAAGCAGAGAAGCTTTGCTATGGAAACTGAAGCTATCGAAGTATTTATTAATTCGAAATACGAGAATCTGCTAAAGCAATAAACCATATTATATCTGCGAATGAAATATTTCTGTGATTGAAGAACATCAAGATTTCATTTGGATTACATTTATAATTGTGTCGTTGGAATATTCTCAAATTCCACTTTTCTTTAACTGTAATGACATTCGTAAATTGATAAACGTTACGATAAATTATAGCTTTTTTACTGTAGTTTTATATATTTATCAAATTTTGTATATTCATAATTTCACATATTTATAAATTTTAACAAGATTTTATATATTCGTAATTTATATATTTATCAAATTT